CGCAGCTCTGGGCGGTGCCCCCGGGGCCGGGCCTGTCCCAACCCCGGGCGCGGCCCCGCGGTCAGCGAATCAGTAACGAGGGGTGGAATGGGCCGTAACGATGATACACTCGCACTTCAAGCCCCATCSGACCTGACTCTGARCGCTTCYTGGAATTGGGYGTACATAACCTCTCTGGRCAACATGTTCCAGAGCCTCACCACCCTCACAGTGAAGAATTTCTTCCTAATATYTWATCTAAATTTCTGCCTTACAATTTGTACCCATTCCCCCTTTTCCTATCACTGTAGTTCCTTTCCACCTTCCCTGCAGGACTCCTTCAGGCACTGGAACGTGATGTGAGGTCTCCACAGAACCTTCTTTTCCYCAGGCTGAACAGCCCCATCTTTCTCAGCCTGTTTTTATGGGGARGTGCTCCAGTCCCCGTGGCCTCCKCTGGGCTTGCTCCAACAGTTCAGCGTCGTCCAGCAGGATGGCACTAAGGACAAAAGGTGCCGTGGGCAGCGCTCACCGGAGCCCTGYGGGCACACGGGCACAGCAGCAGCAGCTCTTGGAACACAGCACAATTCATGGTGGTCCTGCCTCCCACCGCTCAGATGGCAAAGGATGGTCCTTAAGGAAATAAACAGGTGCTAGCAAACCTCTCCCAGGGCAGGCCATTAGAAATCCCGATGAGCTGATTCCTAGTGCAGGGCATGAACGTTACCACAGCCTTCACTGAGAGRGGAAATGCACATGCTCAGTGTTCTGTCCTACAACTGACTGAGCCTGCTCTGGCTCTTGCTCTTAGTCTCTGATGCTAGATTTCTTCAGAAGGCTTTTTKTTTTTTTTTTTCATTTTTTTCTTCTTTTCTTCCTCTTAAATAATGTTCTTTCTTAGCTGGATGCTGGGATTTTAAGTTTGTCTTCATGTTAAACAGTGGCAGAACATGAGGCCATACTCACACGTACTCGCTTGGTGAATAAGTCAAGCRATAGTAGTAGCTCCAGGCTATAAGACACAGATAATACCTAGGATTTAGACACTAAAGCAGACAGAACTGACCACCAGGCTCAAGCAGAAAAGAAGATTACCAAAAAGATGCCTGCATCTCAGCCTCTTATCAATCTGTTTTCCCTTTTGCCTGCATCTGTTTTGAGCTAAACTGCCATTGCCTTGCTTGAACAGTGACAGAGGGACTTGACACGCTGATTGCAAAAGCTATACTCAAAACTGAATGGGCAACCCTAATCCTGGCCTCTTTTTCCCTGTTCTATGTTGCAGTGATGTCTGGTCTTTCTCTGAGACTGCAGGCAGAGGGAACGAGATGGGTTGAAAGGTGGTGGCCAAAGGTGTGCAGAGGGGCTCCCTAAATTCTGCTGGGTAAGGCATGTTCASGGTGCCCCAAGCTGAACAGATCACTCATGTGTGGCATCTCAGGTATAACTTTGCCCTTGTTGGGTCAGTGCAGTCCTGTTCCATGACAGAGCTCTGCCAGGCAGGCAGGGCTGCAGCCCAGCTCAGTCCCTSTGCCCCAGCACACACTCGGGCCTCTCATGCCACGGCAATCGGGCAGAGTGTCTGGCTCAGTGTGGGAGCTGTGGTGACAAGCAAATGAAGTGTTGGCAGACAAATGSTGGCAGCTCTGTCTCTTGACAATTKCCAATGCAAAGCRTCTCCAGGGATGTGCTGCACCATCACTCACTGGTTGTTTTCCCTTGCCCAAGAGGGTCCAGTCCCACAGGGYTCAGTCCTCAGTGACAAAACAGCTGCTGCTTATCTCCCACTGTTGGCTGAAGGCTGACTTTGGTCTGTCAGGTATGTCCAAGGGAAAGGAGTTTTAGGCAGCATGGAGTATCTGCTGTGCACATGCAAAATCCTTTAGCCCCAAACGTTTAAAGCTTTGTGCCCTTCTTACATACCAGACAGATTCTTGGAAAGCAAATTCCATATGTATTTGGTTTTAATACAATGTTTGGCTTTCAATTTATACTGAAAATTTTCTTTCTTTTTGCTTATTACCACCTTAGCTACTGCACTGTTCTGCCTACTATTTTTTGTGTGATTCTTTTAGAATCATGGAGTCCCTGAAGGAAATGTGTAACTGTCTAGGAAGAAAGGTGGTTTTGCAGTTTCCAGAACGTATATTCAGTTTCCCAGCTGGCATCCAACATCCTGAAATGAGTCAAATTCAAGGGAGAGCTTATCCAGAAGAAAGCAGGGATGGGTATTGCTGGCTTGTAATTAGAGCTGACAGAAGCAGGCTAAGCAGAGTCTTAGTGAGGAAGAAAATGTGAGTAGAGGGAATTACTTTGTGCTACTTGTGTGAAAGGCAGTCACTCCCTAGAGAGAATTTCAATATTGCTGTTCACCATATCTCAGCCTTCAAAGAGGGAAAGCAGTTTTGCTGGGGAAAAAGCTGAGCTAAATACTGCTGTCAGGTCTGTGTTAGTCCATAGCACTGTCACACAGAAGAGAGACCTCAAGGAGACAGAGAGAACCCAGTGCAATGCAGGACACTCTTCTAGGTGTGCCCTTCTTTTGTCTTCCTCTCTTTTTGCTCTAAGGACAGAGGACAGGCAATAGCAGTGACAGCCAGACAGCACCCATTCCATACATTCCTCTGCAGGAGAAGCAGGTTGAGCCAGGAGTTGGAAGTACAGCCCTGTGAATCAAATCTCTTCTAATCCTGGCTTCCATATGAYTGCTGTATTTAAAGCTCAGATGCACTAAACCTTACACTGTTCTTGTGAGAGATCAGTGAAAGATCTCTAGAAGAGGGGATTAAAAATGTTCATGACTACCTATGGGTGGAAAAAATAACACAGCAACCTGGTTTTATTCCAACTGAATAAATATATGAGATTTAGAAAGAAAATTTGGGATGCCTCTTTAGAGCATTTATGTGAGAAATTTAGACCTTTCCAATCGAGTCTAAAATCCACAAGTGAAYGTACAGAGTGGGATAAGACACACAGTAATCTATGCATAAACTACGTCAAAGTTGGGGCTATTTGGGGCAGCTGTTTAAAAAGATAACAAAGACATTTTGACATTGTCACGTCTCAGTAACAAAATGAAAAAAAATTAGTAAAGCTGGACAATTTGTAAGAAGAAAAATCAAACAGTCACATTCTTCTATGTCTTGTGCTATGGCAGCAAAGCCACAGGAATTAAGTGAGCTGTAAACTGAGAACATGGCAGGCTGGATACTTCAGTAAGAACATGATTGAATATTTAGTTTTGACACCACATGGTTTGAGATACAATCTTTTATTCTGTAATTATTTTTTTTTTTATAATACAGTATCCTAAGTGCTACCACGTAATCTTCAACATCTTCAACWATATGAATGTAAGCTTTGCTTTTTATTGTATATTGCTTATAATCACTATACAAATTCCCTAATAAYAGAGTAAGCAGATTAGTAACTGCCAGAGGAAAAAGCATTTCTTCCCGACACAAGGGTCTGGATGAGCCCATGTCCCAAAAGACACTGAAAGTCAAGTTCCTTACCCATGCTAAGACTTCACTAAGAGATTACACTCCCTAGATTTCTCATACATGGAATATTTGTTACCTCAGGCTGGTGTTTATTAATTGATTCACTGCTGGTAATTCAAGTGGCTATCATAATTTTTCCTCTAAAATGCTGGCAATCAGGAAATAAAAAAAAAATCAGTTTTAATCTCCTATGAGAGCTGCCATTTAGACAGATGTACACAACTSTAACACCCCTCTAAAAGTCCCTCCCTAGCATTCAGCACACTCTTAGTAAATCAGATGATAATGCTGTCCTGTGAATATCTAGAGATAGCACATGAACTATTCTAAGGTTCAGGCTGGCTATATGGAAACGCTCAGGTATCATGGAAGCTGCTTTGCAAAACTTCTTTCTTGGGGTCAGTGCATTTTTTTCTCCAGATGAAGGAAAGAGGTGTTTAAGATGATTTTCACTTGTGAGAGAAGAGCAAATATATAGGATCCTGTAGAAATTGTTTGGGAGAACAGCCTTGCTGTGAATAGTTTRTTAGTATCAAAAGGAAAATTCAGTAAACATCCTTACTYTYAAATACATAATCTAATAGAGGAATAGGATGGTGAACTTTTGCTAATTGAAACCAGGCACCTATTTTCAGGTTACAGCACTGTTGGGCCTCCTGTATCATTAGGGAGATTGAAAAATTGCCTTTTCTGGTTACTCAGCAGAGTCTAAGTGTGTGTAAAGTCTTTTCCCAGAGATGTCAGGAAGAAGAAGGACTCTTTTGTGCTGATGGCAGATTAACTGAACTCTGAGTTGTGAGCCTGAGGTCTTCATTTCAGGAAGTGCAACAAACGACTGGGGAACCTCAAGCTACACTGCCCAGCCCTTRGAGCAGTCTGTGAAGTATCAGGCTTAACAGCCCTAGAGATCACATCTGGTTTGGTTCAGGCTGTGGTTGTTACTGACATGCTTGTTTTAAATGGATGGCATCTGTTGCCTTCTTTCCTCAACACTGCTGGAAACGGAGAGGGAGRCACAGTTCAGCTTTCTTACCTCAGAATTTTTTGCGAGCTCAGGCTCTGCTGGCCTCTGGGAGCAAGCATTTTCCTTCTCAGGAAGGTAGTGCTCACCTGCCATCTGCTCATACATGCTCTGGAGAGCCAAATTGCTTTCTTTCCTCACTCACTGCAGGAGAAAACTTAATTTGGCAA